TAGTTRTACCACCAGAAAGTCAATACTTGGACTGCATCATTTTGTGCTTTATATTGGGTTAGTATTAGAAGTGTCATTTGAAGAATATTTAGTATCTTATGCAAAACAACACAAGAAAATCACAGTTTGTTAATTTATCTGATGTTCCTTATATAAAGAGTCATATGATAAATTCCTGCTTGAGTGGCTGGGGATATAGCTCAGTGGTACAGYGCTTGCCTAGCATGCATGAAGCCCTGGGTTCCATTCCAACACCACCCAAAGCAGAACAAAGAAACAAATTCCTTCTTGAAACTAGTACCAGAGAAATCTTAATCCCTTTACATGGCTCTATATATTTTCCTTCCTTGAGAGGTGGGAAGTCTGTACAAAGCCACACATATTTTACTCTTTTTCCATGAAGGCCAGTTAATTAAGGAATTTATTCTGTCATCTGCTAATATCTTTAGGTATCCTCATATTTTAAATTAAATATTTCAGGTTTCTTATTCATTTTTTTGGGGGGGGATGGGGGTGTTCAAGGGGTTGAATCCAGGGGCAGTCTACCCCTGAGCTATATCCCCAGCCCATCTTAAAAATTTGAGACAGAATTTCATTAAATTGCTGAGGCTGGCCTCAAAGTTGTGATCCTCCTGCCTAAGCCTCCTGAGTTGCTGGGATTATGGGCATATGACACTGTGCCAACTCTCATTCTGCTCTTAAAAGTGTGCAGCACAGCTTTATAACTACGGTAAGTCTTTTTGAATAATAAAAGAGAAGAGGTCACCTACTCAAATAGCCTTTCTCTGACAAAACTCAATCAAAATCAATCAGCTCCCTGTCCCTAGGCCCCTGACCACTTTTTCTTATCAAAGCATTCTTCCTTCGTTGCACCTAAACAATTTATAATTATTACTTTTAATTGGTTTCCTTTTGTATTTTTTTGTCTCTTCTGCCTGGGCTCCAAACTCCATGAAGACAGAAATTGTGTCTCTTTCTTAATATGCTCTCTCTGGATGACTCCAGAATGTAATAAATGCTCCATAAAAACTTGTTGCTGCCAAATTATCAACAAATTGTAACTATCCTAGCATTATCAGTCATTAAAAGTCTTATAGCATTGCACTTCAAACTTCCAGCATTAACTTTTTTGGTGAATTAAACTTCCAGCATTAACTCATTGGAGAATTAAACTAGTACATGATAATGTGCATAATAATTCTTTGGCTCATTTGAAAGGTTTGTAATTTAGGTTTTTTGTGAATAGTCCTAGGTGTTTTGCAAAAAGTAATAATTAATTTAGATGAAAAGGGGATATTGCAGAATTAAAGGAACCATCAGGATTCACAACCTGGTAAATAAATGAAAAAGGTGATGCTGATAACATGGTCATCCACAGCACAATGCTTCCATCAAAAGTCACAGAAAAAGATAAGAAGAGAGTTAAGATGAAATGGGAAATAAGAATTTAGACCCAGAAATCTTCATTTCTTCCTTCTATGGGCAAGGCCTTCCTAGTCTTGCTTTTCTCCTCCTCCAAATTGCCCTCTTTTGTTCTTTCCCTTCCTTAAATTGTCAGATCTCCTTAGTCTCTTCTAATCTGTGACAATTTCTGTTTTTCCTTGTCCTCATGGCCTTGAGCTATTTGAAGATTTATTGTCGGATATTTTGCAGAATGTCTCCAAGTTTGGGTGTGTCCAGTATTTTCTAATGAAAGATTGAGGTTACAAATTTTTGTGGAAGAATACAAAGGAAGTGATACACCCTTTTTGTCACATCATATCAGAGTACATGACATCTATGTGAGTTATTATCAGGGATCCTTAACCTTCATTGTTTGGTTATGGTGATGTATGGTCGTCAGTTTTCCATTACTGTAACAAAACATTTGAGATAATCGACTTAAAAAGAGGAAGGGTTTATTTTGGCCAGTGGTTTTAGAGGTTTCAGTCCATGGTAAGTTGTCCCATTGTTTCTGGGCCTGCATCCAGGCAGCACATCACCATGGAAGCATGTATCAGAGGAAGCTACTTACTTCACAGCCAGGATGTCAAAGAAAGAACAGAAGAGACTGAGGTTCCACAGTCTTCTTTGGGGGTACACCCTCAATTATGTAAGGGCTCCCATTAGGCCTCATATTCACCATCTCCCCCAGCTCAGAGGCTGAGGACCAAGCCTCCAACGCACGGTCTTTACGGGTTAGSATCCATAGTGTAGTAGGTGATGTTGGCCAGCCTTCTCTACTATAAAGTTTTTTCCCCCTTCTTTCTATACCTTCTTTGATGTGCGTGAAATATTTTTTAAACTCAAGGGTTTAAAAGTTGCTTTATTTAGTTTCCAAACTTATGGGATTCTGGAAGTTATCCTTTTGTTAAAATTTTGAATTTTATTGAATAATGCCAAAGTACATTGTTTGTATGTTACTGATCGTTTGGAATTCATTGAAGTTTCTTTGTGGCCTAATTCGTGATCTATTTTTGTAAATACTTTCAAGTGTGCTGCTTGAACAAAAAATCTGTTTTCGTCCATAGCTTAATTTCCACATCTATGAAATAGGAAGAACCAAAAATATCCAACTCCTTTTATTTTTGGAAGGTTGCAAAACCAAGGATCAAATTGAAAGAGAAAAAACATTGCATTTGTCCTTTTTGACTCTCTTGAGAACTCACAATGGGTATATCTTGACACAAATAAACATAATAGAGGTGTAAAAGGAAGTATCTGTCCTTCCTGAAAGTGGGTTCATTACCGCTGGATAACAGGTGCTTAATCCTTTCTGGGGGCTCAGTTCCAGCCTACAGAGAGGAACTGACCAGAGTGGGGAAGTAACCACCTGTGAGAGTGAGCCTGGTCTGTGGTTTCTTAGAGACCCACTAGCTGTGGATATTTATATAAACAAGCTGAACCTTTAGTRTGTTGCTGAGAAAGATACCAATGTGCTGAGGTGGAGTGGGGTCCTTCAGCAGGCTGGTGGGTAGCAGTTGGACAGTCACTCAGAGTGCCAGGCTAGTTGCTTAGAAGGTAGTCAGACACACATCCACAGGAAGAGGAATTTGATGATCAAGGGCTTATCTTAGTGATTTAATTTAGAGTCAAATGACTAGCCCTTACCATAAGGATGCCATGCCCTTAAACTATAGCCTAATTCTTTTATTCTCTCTTGCCCTTTTTTCTTTTCTTCCATAAACCCTCGTGGACCTTACTGTTTTCTCCCCACCCTCTCCTGGACATGACCATCAGTGCTCACTTCCTAGTTCCAAGGAGATCTTGAGCTTTGCCAAATGCCATGAGTCACCAAGACATATTTAAAACTTCACAAGGGTATTTATTATGCTATTTTTTTTCAACTTTTCTATTTGTTTGAAAACTGCCAAAGTTTACACTTGGAAAAAAATACATTTGTTTTTCCATTACAAAAAGTTAGTAATCCTTAGCTATTGGTAATCATGCAARAGATTTCTATTGTATCTGGATGAAGACGGAGAATGTTGTTAACACCTGTTCACATATAGAAAAGGAAAGAACAACAATTGAGAGCAACAGGATGATATGCCAGTTTTATTTTGGGCTCTTATTAGAAAAACAGACTCTGCACTATACAGGGCTGTGTGTGTTCTGGAAAGAGCCTGAAATCAGAGTGATGTGATTAGAATTCAGATYTTGCTTTATATTGGCTGTGAGATATTGGCTGAGACAACTGATATTTCTGATTCCAGTCTGTACATAGAATACTTGCTGCCTTTGTAAAAATATTGTCACACTGTATACTATAGTAACACTGTAAACTGAATACAATTATTAGAAGGTTTCAAAGAGGGAGGTTTAGAATTGTTCTCCACTGATTTGCTCACACAGATATTGTCATCTTTCACCAGAGGTGTTGGTTGTAAAAAATGTGTGTAAAAAGAACCTTTGCAATTTTTTTTCTGTTATTGTCAACCAATTTTTAGCAGAACGTGACTTTCTGTACATATCATCCAATTGATTTTGAAATGAATGAATTTATTGATCGGCCATCTCATTTCATAAAGGAATCTGAGGAAGAAAACTTGAATTGACATTCTCGTATCTCTTTATATTTGGGTCATGCATGTTGTCTTCCTTTCCAGATTAAAAATGTGCTGAATGCAGATTGGTCCTCAGCACCAACCTCTCCTCAATTTAGTAGTACACCTCTCTGTTTCCAAGATGGAAAGCATTTGCCCCAGACATCCTTGCCGCTTTTGTTCTCCCTGTGAATTGGCCTCACCAACTGCTTACAGCAGAGTGAGGTTTGCAGGTGCTGTTCTGATGCTGCTGGAAAATAACATAAAACCATCGAGAGAGCATAGTTTTTCTGTAGTGGTGGTCCAGTGCTCATTTAATTGCTCAGTCACTGTTGAGGAGGTTGGAGACAGGAATGACAACTTCCAGAGTCCATCTTCTGACTGCGGCCAAGAGCTGGTTTGGCAGTGTTGTCTGCAGAGTCATCCTTCGATCCTCAGCCCTCCACCAGCCTTTCCGGTGATTCTGAGCATCTCCCATTCCTTCTAGGTCTAGAGTATCTAGCTGATTGCTGCCACGGAATCCTCTGACTTGTCCGTTCTGTGGCCAGAAACCCTGTTGAGGTCAAGAAATGACCTTGCATTTTAGAGGTGGGGAACAGATTCTAAATGAATAAGTAAAAAAAAAAAGTTTTAATAAAGCAATGATATGTGTTATAGGTAATAATAAAGCTGGAAAGGACAGGAGCCTAGATAAATGTGGGTGTGTTGACGTTTTAAACGCAGTAGTCAGGGAAGACTTTGCTGCTAAAGTGACTTTTGACCTGCCTCTCATGGCAATTGTGTGCAAGGCCCGGGTGGAGTTAACTGTGTTAAGATGCAATGACCCATTTACTCCTAGGTTATCTAAGTTGTTTTCCATTTTCAGGCGGGCGTATTGTTTACCCACAGCAAACATGGCAGAAAAAACTTCAAACTGACCCTGGAGCCCTCAAAAATGATGGCCACAGCGCTTCCTGTGCTTGCCCTCAACAAAGATGGCGGCAATACTTCCTGTTTAGGGATTTCGCCTTCAACAAAGATGGTGCTTATGGTACAGGTTTCCTAACAGTCTGGATTCCGGTTGTAGTTTTTTTTTTTAAAGCGACGTGTTTGCAGACGTAAGTAACAGGAATCCATTTTTTTTTTTTAAATTTCTCGAATGCCCCGCGCTGTGGCGTTGGGCCCTGGGTGGCTCGCTCGCCTTCTTAACTTGTTCTGGTTTCTGAGCCGGGCCAGAGTTGGGGGGGCGGTGCCCGGTCCCATTCTCCCCTCTGTCCGCTGTGAAGGTCCTTCCGCGGTTCACATTGCCCCGAAAAATCTCTCACAGTTCGTTCTGTGTGTGACACAATAAAGATCTCAGTTGCAGAGGCCCGGAGGTTTTTTTTTTTGTTTTTTTTTTTTGGAAGTTCCAAATGAGCGCTCGAAGGCAAATACGGACCTGCTCCTCCTCCTCACCTGCCCACCCCCGCCCCAGGGAGCTGAGGAGCGCGGGGCCCGGCGCTGGGAGCCCCGTCCGCCCCCTCCGCGCCACACAGGCTACGTCGCCACCGCCCAGCCGCCTCAGTCGCCAGCGACCTTCAAAACCTGGGTGGCTTCTGACCAGTGTCGGCGTGTGGCCTTTTAAAAATTATTATTATTAAGGAGAATAACTCACTAAATGCCCCGTGCGTGGGTGGCCAGGGCAGTGCAGTGATGGAGATTCGGACTGCATAAGGTTTACTGTATACTGGACACATGCAATAAGTATATTGCTTGTAAGTGACGATGGTGTAAAGGCCTTTTCTCTTAGTGAAAAAGATCCTTAAACTCATTGGTACCTCTGGTTTCTGTCCTCCACTCCCGTTGCTTGTCAGGTTCTGCAAATGCCCGTGGTCATTTTTGGAAAATTGCAGTGATGGTGGCGGGCAATCTCTGCACTGTTAGGAGAAAAACACCATTTCTCCTCTAAAATGTGTTAAAATAAAATGCCGCTTTGTAATCCTTGCATACACATTTTTAAGACTTTTTAAGCAAAGTCTCTGGCCTGCTTTTTGGTCAGATCTCTTTATGGAAAGAGGACCTCATTATGTAAAAAGCAGAAACAGAAAAGATGATTCATCTCCACTGTTCCCTGTGTTGGGACGCATCTGAAGTTAACTTGGCTTGTTTTAATAGCCTTGTAGTAAACACCAGGGCCTGATATTCAGCATGCTAAGTTTCAAAAATCTGCCAGTTGTTAACACTGCAGCAACTACCTCTAGGGGTGCATCAGCATTCCTATAATCTGAGCCATGATTTTGTCTCTTTCCAGGGGGAAATGGAGGCCAGAGACAAGCAAGTGCTCCGCTCCCTCCGCCTGGAGCTGGGTGCAGAGGTACTGGTGGAGGGACTGGTTCTTCAGTACCTTTACCAGGAAGGAATCTTGACCGAAAACCATGTCCAAGAAATCAAAGCTCAAGCCACAGGCCTCCGGAAAACAATGCTGCTGCTGGATATCCTCCCCTCTAGGGGTCCAAAAGCATTTGATACCTTCCTAGATTCCCTGCAGGAGTTTCCCTGGGTGAAGGAGAAGCTGGAAAAGGCAAGAGAAGAAGCTGTCATTGAGCTGCCTTCAGGTAGGCCTCCAAAGGATCACTTCAAACCAGCTCTGAAATTGTTGGCACTTACACCTTTTGGATTGGAAGTTAATGTGGGCAGGGGTCAGTGGTTCATGCAAGGGAGTAAAGAGTTTGGAAGGAATAGGGTGAGGATGTGGCAATGTAGGAGAGGAAGAATGGACCATGACTGAGAGGTTGTGGAGGGAGCTCAGAGTCCATTTAGAAATGCTTCCAGGGAAACTTGGCAAGTCACTTGGGAGGCATGTTCTCATCAGAGAGCCAGGTCATATCTCAGCTCTTGGCATCAGGAGCCATTTGGAAAGTGCAGATGGGAAAGCAGGCTTTGGCCTGCTGATAATTGATTTGTGGGGTGCCAGAGCTGCCAGCTGGAAAAGGTCAGATTCATGGAGGAGGAGACAGCCTCTAGGAAGGCATGCCCTGCACCTGTCCCCTGGGCTGTCCTACAARGCCAAAGGGAATTGTTTTGAAGACTGACTGACTTTGTTTTTAAAGGCTATTGGCTTAAAGTGTCCTTTTTGGTTTGGCTCTGTTCAGATATCTGTAGTATTTAATTTGGTAAGGGCAATACTTTGGGGAGGGTCTCATTTTGATTTTAAGAATTGAAAGCAGTAGAAAAGAAAAAGTTCTGGTGCTGTTGGCCTAGTTTGGGGCAGGAAGATGCGGTATGAAACATTTGTTCCTTTTTAACAGCTCTCATCACTTCTACCTTTTACAAAGATCGAGGAACAGATAAATGAACAACTAAAAATGATAATTTTTTTTTCCAGTACTGGGGATTGAACCTAGGACTTTGTATATGCCAGGTGCTCATTCTACCATGGAAGTACATCCTCAGCCGAGGCTGGCCCCCTGAGCTTGTGATCCTCCTGCTGTTAGTCTCTTGGTAACTGGGGTGCAGGCATGTGGCAAAAAGGAATAAAATTTTAGAAGAGAATTGAAAGTTGACTTGCAGATTTTTAACAGAAAATTAAGTAAATCTGAAGAAATGAAAATAGGAATTATGCTTCTACTCATGATGTACAGCAGTACAAAATGATCTTTTTTTGTATTAAGTATTTTGATAGTGAAAGGCTTTCGGTTCGCCTTTTTTGTTGTTTCCTACTATGTGCTGCCAGGAGGAACCTCTAAGTCAATTACCAGGAAAGCACCAATAATTTTTTAACATCTTCCCAATCCTACATTTATGTTTTGCTTTCACTAAATTGGTAGAGATATCTTAGATACTTGGCTTGGTTTTAATTTTGTAAGGACAGTCCAAACTGAGTTATAGATTTTCTTAGCAGAGGTAATATATCAATATCCTCTGGAGTTTCTGATACAGTGATAATTAAAACTACTCCAAGTCAGTGGTCCCTAGACTTTGTTGTTGCTGGTTTTTAAATACGAGTATAGCTAGTTTAAAAATATGCTACTAATACGAGACCACTTTTATTGCTTTTATTTTTATTATGTCATCTTTTGAATGATTTTTTTTCACAGACCACATAGTATTAAATAATCATGATTCTTCTTTTTTCATTGATGACATATGTCTGAATATTTGACCAGCATGAGATAATCAGTGAGGAAGACCGATAAAAATCTCAGTGGAAAAAACAAAAATATTTTTATTCCTAGCTTGACTAAATTACATGTAAAGTATGGTTTAGGCTTTTTGAAATACTGAAAATGGCTGGCCTTGGAGGACCACGGATGTTCTCAGCATGGACTGTGCTTACAAAATTAAATGCTCTAGCTGTCTGAACAAATCCAGGCTAATGTATCTTAAGATGTTTCTACTAATTTACTGAAAGCAGAACACATAACTCAGGATTGGAGAGATGTTAAAAAATTATTGGTGCTTTCCTGATATTTGACTTAGAGGTTCCTCCTGGCAGCACATAGTTGGAAACAACAAACCAGGGGAATTGAAAGCCTTTCACTATCAAAACATTTAATTATATGATCATTATAGGTGATGTAAATAGTACTGCTGCACCTCTTTTGTGGAAGTGTGACCCCCATTTCCTCAGATTCATTCAGACAGCAAGAAGCAGTTAAGACAGTTTCTACCACATGAAAGTTATAGAGAAACTGAGGGAAAAATAGGTTTTTGAAAGCAAGCAGAATGAAGCAGTATATAGTGGAGAAAAACTGTGCATATATATGTGTTAAAGTTTAGAAATATAAGGTTTTCCTCAAAGTTTGTTAATTTTGTAGAAGGGGTCAAATGGAGAGATAGTGTGGCTTAGAAAGAAACAGTATTTGTAATTGATTTCCTTTTTATTGAGTAACACTGCTATTGAAAAGAGTATTCTGAAGCAGAGATTTGTTTGATTTATGTATGTCTCTGTGTACCTTCCACCATGACAGTTACGTACATTCATTTTTTTTAGATAGGTGTTTTTATTAAATGTTGACTATTTAAAATAATATTATAAAATATAAGTAATATTTGAAGAATAAGGTAAAGTAAACATCTGTCTTCTCATCACTTAGTTTAAGAAAAATATGACAATTGTTTTGAGAATCCCTGGTGCTTCTTTCTGGTCCCCTCCTTTTTAACCCTCACTCACTGGTAAACCCTGAATTTGGGGTTTGTTGTTCATTCTCTTCCTCACTTTGTAGTTTCCATATCATGGAAATCACTTTTAAAATCTGCATGTCGTTGAAGAATATAGCATGTTATGGGTTCTAGTGGTAAATGTGTGGATATGTATATATAGATATTTAATGTATAGGAGAGATGGAAGAAATGATATATTTTAAAGGAGTTGACAGTTAATAGCTTTCTTGCTTGAGACATTAAAATATATTTAAATGTTTAAAGTAATTAATTTCATAGCAATATTTTAAAACTTAAATTAAGTTGGAATTTAATGAATTGGAAACCTAGGCAGTTTTTTTTGTTTGTTTTTTATTGCTTTTTTTTTTTTTTTTTAATTCTGGATGACTATCAGAGGTACAATTCCTTCCAATTTAATGTCTCTGGAAAAAAGCAGATAAACCCAGAAGGCTATTTCCTAGGACCTCAGGGCTTCTCCAGCATTGTAACAGAGTTTTAACAAGCTTTGCAGTAGGCCACTTACATTGTTGTAGTGGCATCTTTGATCTTTGAAGAACTGGACTGTGGGAAAATGTGGTGCTTCTGTCTGAATGTATATGCATTCACCGCCTCTTACTTTTCACTCATTTTGGTTGCAATCATTAATTTGTTTGTATGGATTTCTTGGCCTTCTCTTCAGAGGCCTTGAGAACCTGAGAAGGAATGGCCTTCTCTGTAGGCAAGAGATTGATCCTCTTTAAGAATGAATTGATTTTAAGTTTTCTTGTTGTGTTCTTCTAGCAGATTCTTGGTTTTCCCTTTGTTTATCTAATTTTTATTTTTCATTTATCAATTTTGAACTGGCTCAGACTTTTTTTGGGGGGGCGGTAATCCTGGTTAGTTGCTTATTTGTGTGCTGGATGTAGTTCTTTAGTGAACTGTATCTTGTTCTCCTTTTATTCTTCCACACCGCCTCCACAACACACACCCAGGGAATCCTAAAACATAAAAGCAAACAAACAAAAAACTAAAACCTTTGATTTTTTTCAGAATCTGCCTAGGTCTTCCAATCTCTGTTAATTAAAAAAAAAAAAAAAGGCTAAGACATAAATGGATGACTTTTTTTTTTTTTAACCCTATAAGGATTCTTACCTTTTAAAAGGGAAATTCTGACGATAAAATGACTTAATCTGTGTTGACACTGTGGAAGGAACACTTTACAGCATGTCCCTCTCTGGCCAAGGTCACATACTAGATACTAGATCAGCTGGACATCCTTTCTGGACTCCTGTCCTATCATTTTAGGAGATGAGGACAGTGTGGTATGTGAGTGTGAGCAGCCTGTGCCTGCCTGGCTTCCCACTCCCTGTGGGTCCTGCCTGCCCTGACCACTCACTCCAGTGCCTGGGCTCATCTGAATCTGGAAAGGTTTATCCACAACCCCAGCCGCACTGTCTGGTGAGACTTAGCCTCTGGGCCATGGGACCTATTTTCCCTAGGTTGGCCCTGGCTGTGGGACTGGGTCTCTGCCAAGATTTTCACTTACCAGTCTGCCTAGTAACCCTGCCTTTTACTCCAATCTTCCTTTAGTCTTGGGAGTTTGGTTTTTTTGTTTTTCTCTCCTCCTTCTCTTGATTCTTGTTTTATGTATTCTTAGCCACTGTCAAGAGTGAAGGTCAGATCTCTGGGACAYAGTTCAGCGCCTCCTGTAATGAGCACCAGACACCTCAGCTCTTGAGCCTGCTGGAGTGGCTGTCCTGAGACTGTCACTTGTTCAGCAGGTTTTCCCCAAGGACCCTATGCCCCAGACTGCCTGGCTGTCCTCACTGGCACAGTGTTYAGGGCTCTGGCTGGTCTCTTTTCCTCCTGCCTATGGCTCCAGGGCTCAGCTTATCCCTTGTGGAGCTGTTCTTGAATAATCATGCTGAGCCACCTCAGCCGCCACCCGAGATGCACTCTGGCTCTGAGGTGTATACTTGGAGGCATCAGCAGTTACTAAGCTCTCGTGGCAGACTTATAGACATCATAATAGGCTCATTAGAGAAATTTCTAGCTAGGGATTCTTCTCATAGGATCCTGCAGTCATGCTGCATACCTGAGCCTGCTCTGCATAATTTCTGTATTGATCTCAGTTTATCTCCCTGTGGGCTGTCTAGGCTCTTCACTGTGGCTGAGTAGTGCTCACCTGTGGCATCGTGTGTGTGAAGGGAGAACACCTGATCAGTTTCTACCATGTGCTAGATGTTAAGTGCCAAGGGTTTAGCAGTAACCAAAACAAAATCCCTGCTCACCCGGAGCTTTGTGGTTCTGGGGGAGAGGGTAAAGAACTGGGGACAACCATAAGCAAATGAATAAATAACCTATCTGGTGGTGATGAATGCTGTGAAGAGTGTGTGTGGGAGTGAGGGTGGCCAGGGAAGCCTCTCTGATGTGGGGACACTGGGTGGAGACCTGACTTCTGTGACAGAGTGGC